CATGAGAATACAAATCCCTCTTCGAATCCCCAGTCCGTGTACATGAGGATACAAATCCCTCTTTGAATCCCCAGCCCGTGGACATGAGCTCCAGGGTAATAAGCCCAGGGCAATACAGAGGGCATCCCGCCCTGTCAGAAGGTGTGTGTTTTTAGTGAGACATCTGGGTCTTCATCTACCCTCTCAGGCTGTCATACAGGACCATGTCACAATCTTATAGAAGAGCAGGAGAATTCTGCCTGCTGTCCCAGTCAATACTTATCCCTTTATCAACATCAGTCCTGACCTGAAACATCAGCTTTCCTGCTCCTCTGATGCTGCCTGGCCTGCTGTGTTCCTCCAGCTCCACACTATGTTATCAGTTACAATGACTTATCTGGTCATCACCACTCTCCAAAACCTGGCTGCTGCATTTCCTACATTAGAATAGTGACCATTCTTCCAAATATTGTATTGACTTTAAAGGAATTGAGGTATACTGGGATTCTGAAAGGTGCTACGAAGGGATGTGTATAAATGCAGGATTTCCTTTTCCTCAGTGGCCCATATCTCATCGCCCTTTTCCTTATCATCAAGATCATCATTTTCCTCCTCTTCAACCTCCCTGAACCCTACCTTTCACGCAGCTGCAGATTAAAAGGGCATAAACTAAGAAGCGATGAGCAGAACACTCTTGCATTCCAGAAGACAAAGAAGGGTGTGGAGGTATCAGTCTGTCCATTCCTTGTACTGATGCCATGAGGACATTTTTGGTCTTTATCCATTGACTGAATTGTCACACCTCGTACTGCTTGAGGGACTGAGGTTATGAAATCTAACACACCATGAAGTATAGTCCTTTGGTGGTCCAGAACTTTGAGTATTTCTCAAAAGCGTCATGCTTTGCCAAAACTTTATGCCTTATAAGAACATAAGAACTAGGAGCAGGAGTACGCCATCCGGCCCCTCGAGTCTGCCCTGCCATTTAATAAGATCATGGCTGATCTTTGAGACTCAGCTCTACTTACCCGCCCACTCCTATAACCCTTAATTCCTTTACTGGTCAAAAATGTATCTAGTCTTGCCTTAAAAACATTCAGCGAGGTAGCTTCAACCGCTTCACTGGGCAGGGAATTCCACAGATTCACAACCCTTTGGGTGAAGAAGTTCCTCCTGACCTCAGTCCTACATCTGCTTCCCTTTATTTTGAGGCAATGCCCTCCAGTCCTAGTTTCACCTGCTAGCGGAAACAACCTCCCTGCCTCCACCTTATCTATTCCCTTCATAATCTTATATGTTTCTATAAGATCTCCCCTCATTCTTCTGAATTCCAATGAGTATAATCCCAGTCTACTCAGTCTCTCCTCATAATCCAATCCTCTCAACTCTGGAATCAACCGAGTGAATATCCTCTGCACCCCCTCCAGTGCTAGTTTATCCCTTCTCAAGTAAGGAGACCAAAACTGCACACAGTACTCCAGGTGTGGCCTCACCAGGACCCTATACAGCTGCAGCATAGCCTCCCTGTTTTTAAACTCCATCCCTCTAGCAATGACAGACAAAATTCCATTTGCCTTTTTAATTACCTGCTGCACCTGCAATCCCACCTTCAGCGATTCATGCACAAGGACACCCAAGTCCCTCTGCACAGCAGCGTGCTGCAATTTTTTACCATTTAAAACATAGTCCATTTTGCTGTTATTCCTACCAAAATGGATGACCTCACACTTATCAACATTGTACTCCATCTGTCAGACCTTTGCCCACTCACTTAGACTATCTATATCCCTCTGCAGACTTTCAGTGTCTTCTGCACACTTTGCTCTACCACTCACCTTGGTGTCATCTGCAAATTTTGACACACCACACTTCGTCCCCAACTCCAAATCATTTATGTAAATTGTAAACAATTGAGGTCCCAACACTAATCCCTGAGGCACACCACTAGCCACTGACCGCCAACCAGAAAAACATCCATTTACCCTTACTCTTTGCTTTCTACTGGTCAACCAATCCTCTATCCATGCCAATACATTACCTGTAATACCGTGCAACTTTATCTTATGTAGCAGCCTTTGGAGTGGCACCTTGTCAAATGCCTTCTGGAAATCTAGATACACCACATCCACAAGTTCCCCATTGTCCACCATGCAAGTAATGTCCTCAAAGAATTCCACCAAATTAGTTAAACATGACCTACCCTTCATGAACCCATGCTGGGTGTTCCCAATGGGACAATTTACATCCAGATGTCTTGCTATTTCTTCCTTAATGATAGATTCAAGCATTTTCCCCACTACCAAAGTTAAGCTAACTTGCCTATAGTTACCTGCTTTTTGTCTACTTCCTTTTTTAAACAGTGGTGTCACATTGGCTGTTTTCCAATCTGCGGGAACCACCCCAGAGTCCAGTGAATTTTGGTAAATAATTACTAGTGCATTTGCTATTTCCCCCATCACCTGTTTTAGTACCCTGGGATGCATTTCATCAGGGCCAGGAGACTTGTCTACCTTTAGTCCCATTAGCATGCCCAGCACTGCCTCCTTAGTGATAATGATAGTTTCTAGGTCCTCACCTGCTTTAACCTTCTTGCTATTAGTTTTCGGCATGTTATTTGCGTCTTCCACTGTGAAGACCGACACGAAATAACTGTTTAATGTCTCGGCTATTTCCTCATTCCCAGTTATTAAATTGGCCTTCTCATCCTCTAAAGGACCAATGTTTACCTTCGCCACTCTTTTACGATTTACATATTTATAGAAACTTTTGCTGCCTGTTTTTATATTCTGAGGTAGTTTACTCTCATAATCTATCTTACTTTCCTTTATAACATTTTTGTGGCTTTCTGTTGGTCTTTAAAGATTTCCCAGTCTACTAGTTTCCCACTACTGTTTGCTTTTTTATATTTGTGTTTTTTCAATCTGATACTTTCCTTTATTTCCTTAGACATCCATGACTGGTTCTTCCTTATCACTGGAATATACTTCTGCTGAGCACTGTGAAAAATTGATTTGAAAGTCCTCCACTGTTCCTCAATTGACCCACCATAAAGTTTTTGCTCCCATTCTACCTTAGCTAACTCCTTCCTCATTCCTTTGTTTAAGCGCAGGACATAGGTACTGGATTTAACTTTCTCACGGTCCACCTGTATTTTAAATTCGACCATACTGCGATCACTCCTTCCGAGAGGATCCCTAACTATGAGATCATTAATTATTCCTGTCTCATTACACAGGACGAGATCCAGGATAGCTTGCTCCCTCGTACTTATACTCATCAGGAAAATTCACCAAAGTAGAGGAAAATCAACATATATAAAGTCTGAGAGAGCAGTACTCAACTTAACAAAGTAAATGACAATCATTTCTCCAAGCAATGCCTAGACCAATCAGATGTAACCTGCCTGGCAGTAAACTGTCACCCATCATTAGTTGGGGCATTCTCCATGGTAACACCTCCACTAGAGTCTGCTTGCCAATCAATGCTAACTTTCATCTCATGGTGTTTAAATGCTTTTTCCTGTTTACATTGGTATACCTCACAGATTGTCCTTTTGAGTTCGAGTTGAATATTTCTGACAATATTGAGCTTATTTTATCAACAATATTCAAACTCTGTGACACATAAGGGCCCATGGTTCAGGCTGCCTTCTCCAGTACTGTGTCATTAATTGGGACTGTGTGCAAATTCTACTAAATGCTTTAGTTGCAAAATAACATTTGAGTAATATGTCCCGGGTGCATTCAGATAACTGATGCAACCGATTAGCTGATATCATTCAATTAAAGTGGATGTAGGGGTTTAAAAGCTTCTGCGGGCTCGTAATTAAGGGAGATGAGATCGCATCTTGTAAGACATGGTTAACAGAAGCCCTTAATCACAGAGCATTGTGAAGGGTGAGGAGTGCAGCAGTTAATCTTCCAAAGTGAACAGTATGTTGATGTCCAAGCTGCCCACAATTGGAAAGGTGGTTGACATATTACTCTCTCTGCCCTTGCCTCGTCATTGAACTTTTCTCTGGCAGTGGTCTTCAGTTCTGAGGATGAGGGAAGAAGGATCAATGTTATTTGCAGCATCTTCTGTGCAACTGAGACACACATTTCTGAGGATTCCTTTCCATGGAAACCAGCACTCCTTTCATCCCCGCGCCCCCTTCCCCGATTAAGGTAGAGAGTTCAATACTGGGAGGATATTGGAGGTTCGTGTGTACCACACATAGCCGGTTGCCATGTTTCACTGCCATGAGTTCCATGTCATGCTGCATCCCATTCAGGAACAACACCATTACCTTCACCCGTACTATCATGCTGCTCTTTCCTGGCTTTTTCTTAATTCCCCTTTACTTGGGGGCTTTTTATGACTGCTCCAGTTGATGCTTAGTTTTCCAAAGCGCTATAGAATTTCATAGCAGCCACCTGGAACAGGGGCTGGCATGATGGCTCAGTGGTTAGCACTGCTACCTCACAAGGCCAGAGAGTCAGGTTTGATTCCACCCTCAGGTGATTGATTGCCTGTGTGGAGTCTGCATGTTCTCCTCATTTCCTCTGGGTGCACCCTTTTTCCTCCCACAGTCCAAAGATGTGCAGGTTAGGGGGATTGACCATGGGGAAATGCAGGGTTACAGGGATAGGGTAGGGGGTGGTGTGATCTTATTAGGGTTAATTGGCAGAATGGCCTGGTGCCACACTGTAAGGATTCTATGGGTAGGACAGTCTGCTCAGCCTTTGAAATGATTTGGTTGTGTTGTTGCTACCCTGCCTGTTGCACATATCTTTTAACCTTTTCCACATTACTGGAGGATTGGTGGATATGCAAGTTACCACAGTACCCCCATGTAACACAAGGGTTGTGCTCAGCTAATGGCAGTGGGATGTGTGCAGCAGACGGCTCTGAGACATGTAAAATTTTAAAAAAAAGGACAAGAAGCGTTGGAGAAACTCAGAAGGTCCGGCAGCATCTTAGAGAGAGTAACAATTAATGTTTCAATTCCATTATGTATTTTCTCCAGAACCTGTTTCTGTTTCTCTCTCTACAGAGGAGGGAGGTGATGGCCTAGTGGTATTATCACTGGAGTCTTCATCCAGAGACCCAGGTAATGTTCTGGGGACCTGGGGTCAAATCCTGAATTCAAATTCATGGGCAGAATGGTGGCTCAGTAGTTAGTGCTGCTGCCTCACAGCACCAGGGACCCAGGTTCAATTCCACCCTTGGGTGACTGTCTATGTGGAGTCTGCATATTCTCCCTGTGACTGTATAGGTTTCCTCCCACAGTCCAAAGATGTGCAGGTGAGGTGGATTGGCTGTGCTAAATTGCCTGTAGTGTTCAGGGATATGTGGATTGGATGGGTCGTGGGGGGGATGCTCCTCGAGTTGGTGTGGACTTGTTGGGCCAAAGGGCCTGTTTCCATACTGTAGGGATTCTATGAAATGTGGTTAACTCTTAACTGCCCCCTGGGTAATTAGGGATGGGCAATAATTGCTGGCCTAGCCAACAACACCCTCACCACATGAATGAGATTAAAAATAAGATGCTACCAGATCTGCTGAGTTTCTTCAGCTTTTCACTTCAGACCTCTAGGGTCCACTATACTTTGCTTTTATCTGAGTCTTTTGGTTGAGTCAGAAACAGAGGAACAGAGGAGGCAACAACCTCATGCTATCATCACTGGACTGTTAATCCAGAAACCCACGTAATGTTCCAGGAACCTGGGTTCGAGTCCCACCACGGCAGATGGTGGAATTTGAATTCAATAAATATCTGGAATTAAGAATCTAATGATGATCATGAAACTGTGAAGTCAATTGTCGGGAAAAACCCATCTGGTTCATTAATGTCTTTTAAGGAAGGAAACTGCCATCGTTACCTGGTCTGGCCTACATGTGACTCCAGACCCACAGCAATGTGGGTGACTCTTAACTGCCCTCTGGGCAATTAGGAATGGGCAATAAATGCTGGCCCAGCTGGAGACACCCACATTCTATGAATTAATGAAGAGTGGCTCCACAGTTGAAAGCAAATAGTCATGTGTATTTTGGGAATTTTTATTTAATCCATTTACCCCTTGAATTTTGTGCCCAATCTTAGAATTTGGTTTGCTAACTGGTCTAATTCTTTTCAAAATTAGTATCTTGATCGACACCCATTCTATCATCACGACAAGAGTGAGGGGCAGCTTAACTATCAGAAATTCTGTGTTTTGCTTTGAAAGTCTGCAATAAATCGTCACTTTCCCTACTTAATTCAAATAAGGGCCATTACCAGATCACAGTCATAAAGTTTGAGCTTGAGGGATAGTTCTGTCCTCAGGGAGACAGACAACGAAAAGTGACAATTTCATGCCATTCAAATGTTCGCAGAAATGCTCTCAATGAGTAACGAGACAAACCTAGTTTGAAAGTCTCAGGAAGCGACTGCAAGTTGTAAGCCCATGGCAGTTTAATAATACCCCAATCAATACAGCCAAAGACTGAAGCCTTAAGGCAAGCTCTCTGCTTGCTGGTGATGGTGCGAGGGTCTAAACTATCTCCCTCAGGCCGCAGGGTCATTTCCCCTCAGAAAGATTCCCCCTCAGACATTTACTTCTGACTGCTGCAAAATCAGTAAATTTCCAATTGAAAGACATTCTATTTAGACTATCCATCAGCACACTCAAACTCATAAAAGCCATGCACAAGAAGGTAATCAGGGGAAACCAAACAATTCACAGGAAGAAAGCACCATATTGATTGTACGACTTTATGTGTTGGTTTATACTATAAATTCGAACTGCAAACATAAGGTGATTGATGGCTCCTTGGGCACTGCTCAAGCTTAAAGCAAACTATGTGCAGGTTGCCTGAAGGTCACATAGCTATAACAAACAGATGGATTTTCTCCTTTCAGTATGTTTCCTTGATGGGCAGCTCAATAAGTCTTTTCAGAAAATAGCCAATTTAATGAGTTTAACTTGTGTGCCTTTATCTAAATTATGACGATGAAATAAAATAAAGGGGAAAAAAACGAATCGCCGACTTTTACCCAATCCTACAAATCAATATGGCAGAAGACAAGGGTGGATGAGAGCAGGATTTCTGCACAAACTGAACCGATGAGCAATTCTGGATAAATTCACAAGGGAGTTTGTGTGTAAAATTAACAGCCTTGCGAATTGTATGTTAAAGGGCAGTGTTGTTATAGATTGTTGGGTGTAAACTATTACATGCAAAGCAGAATTTGCCCATTGAAAATGAGTGTTGAGTCGTGTGGAGTGGGCTGGAGACATGGAGCAGAGCGGAGATAGTTGTTGGACTCAGGACCAGGGTGGTCAGTAAGCGCTTGTGAGGCTGGTCAGACCACGTCATAGAGTCATAGAGGTTTACAGCATGGTAACTGGC